TTAGTTAATGATTCAACATGAGAGCAGGAAGAATGGGATGGTGTTCTGCAGGATGGGAATATGAGGGGAGCCCTCACTGGAACAGTGAGAGGTCATTAGGTCAGCCAAGTCATAAAGCATTTGGAAGGTAAGATCCATGTTCACTGAAGAGACTTTGTATTGGGAGGGCCAGATCCAAGAGGTCAATTCCAGACATCAAGTAAAACGGGGTAACCTCAACTGCAGCCCCGGGAGGTAGAACCCATTTCCGCGGGGATCTTGCACGGCGAAGGCCCCGCCGCCGTCGCCCCGGCAGCAGTCCACGCCGCGCTCGCCCCCCGCGCAGATCATGTTCTCCGTGAAGACGTAGGCGCCGGCCTCCCCCTCGGAGTGTGCCCCTTCCACTTCGCGGCACTTCTCCAGAGGGGCCACGGGCAGCTTCGCCCCTTTGAGGTGCAGAGCGCGGTGCCTGTCCTCGGTCCGGCCCCAGCCCGAGATCAGCCCCAGGTCTCCGGCCTCCAGGTCGTACTCGGCGGAGGCGCCTGGGAGGCAGATGGGGGAGACGGCGGGCCCCATCCTCACGGGGTCTTTCAGCAGCACCAGCGCGAGGTCGTTGTCGAAATTCTTGCGCGCGTGGGGGTCGTCCAGCGACTCCCAGCCCGGGTGGACAAACACGCGCTCAGCCGAGAGCATCTGGGCATCCGCCAGGCGTGAGGTCTGCACCGTGGTGATCCCCACGTACATCGTGGGCTCGGGGACCCCCTCCACCACGTGGGCCGCCGTCAGCACCCAGCGCTCGCCCACCAGCGCGCCGCCCGCCCACGGGTGCCGGAAGAAGACCTGCCAGGGGAAGCTCTGGATGTTGGCATTGGCGCCTCCGAAGATCCTCTGTTTTTCAAAAGGCTCGCTGGGGACTCCGCAGACTAGGAAGGAAACGAGCCAGGTGGGCGGAGCAGGGACGGAGGCCGCCCCTGCCCACCCTCCTGCGTTCAAACGCGCGCACCGCTGGGTTGCAGAGCTTTCTGGCACACCAGTCAGCACTGTTCTGTCCACATCCCAATGCCTGACCCTGCCGGCCTCTCCCAGGGTCTCTCGCGGGAGAGACTGGCTAAACAGGGGCAGTGTGCGAACCTGAGTTCAAGGGCACCGGCGCCTCCTGTTATCCACAGATAGTCCCACGGCACCTTGGGCGACGCACCTCTCTGCACGGACCCTTCGGGGCACACCTACCTTCGGGCTCGGCCTGTGAGGCCAGGCCCAGCTGAGAGCCAGTGCTGGGGACCCCTTTCCCCAGCTGCCCAGAGCCAACCCTCATCACTTTCTTGACTGGAGTCCTCGCTATACTGGAGTCCCGCCCGGTCACTCACAGGTCAGCCTAGGGCGTGAAGACTGGGCTCCCTTCTTGGGTCTCAGCCCCTCACTCCCCAGTGATCGGTTCGGGTGTGATGGCCTCACCGTCGCCCGGCACACCTGAGTTTCCGGTGAAGCTGGCATCCCCAAACCCCTCACTGGACGACTGGGTGGACTCAGAGTGGAGCAGAAAGGGCTTTGGACCCAGACAGCCCCAGGCTCAGAGCCAGTGCCCGTCTGTCACCCGCTGACTCTGAGGGCCTGCACTCGATTGACCCGCTTGTCAGACGAGACCAGCAGCCCCAGCGCCCAGGGCCGTGCTGAGGCCAGGCTGGGGGTGAGACAGTAAACCCAACGGGGGAGCCCAGTCCTCGCTCTCAGCGACACGGCGTCCACGGCAGGAGCGCCATTCCTGCTCCGGTTGGCCCCAGCCCTCTGCCCTTCAGCCCCTGCAAACCCTGGTGTCTCCTGTTTCCCCACGTCTTGTTGCCCTATGAGCTGCTCAGGTGACAGCCAGGCACTTGAACTAGTCTGGTTCTGGGCGCATGTCCTCACCCTCCCCTGGAGGCTGTTTTCTGCAGGTTATTTCTCTCTCTCTTCTGTTTTCTTGGAGACAGGACCTGCTCTGTCGCCCAGGCTGCAGTGCAGTGGCACGGTCACAGCTCCCCGCAGCCTCCACCTCCTGGGCTCAAGCACTCCTCCCACCCCAACCTCAAGAATAGCTGGGACTCCAGGCACAAGCCACCACGCCTGGCTGGTTTTCAGCAGGTCTGTGTTCCCTCACCGCATCTGTGTCACCACACCTGACGGGCCCTGACTCTGACACCAGCCGTCCCTCTGGTCCTTCCGGTCAGCCTGACTTCCTGTGCTGAGGGAATTCCCAGGCCCCGGCAGGCCCACAGCCAATGTCCCTGCCACCCCGCTGAGCTGGGCTCTGACAATCCCCGACCAAGGCCTCTCCCGAGAGGACCGCAGCCCCTTCCAGAAGGTGACCTCCACGCCCCGCCCCCGTGGCCGCCACCCTCCCCAGACCTCAGCCCTGGTTACCTGGCACACACTTTGGCAGCTCCGTGCCCAGCATCTGGTTCACCCAGCTCCCGTTACCAGCACAGCGGTACTCTCCTGGAACAGCACGAGGACGCAGCTCACCCCCGCACCCCCCTCTCCTTCCAGGCCCCCCTCCGTCCGGGTCCCACTCGAACCCACATCTCCTGGCTTTGAGGCCTCCCTCCACCCGGAGCCTCAGCTCCTCCGGGACTGGAGAAAGGGGTCAGAGCAAATCAGCCAGAAAAGTCCTTGAGGACGCCCCCCAATTAATCCCTCAGGCCTCCATCCTGCCAAGGGAGAGGAGGGAAAGCAGAAGGAAAAAGGGCCACGGCAGGGACCAGGAACACGCGCCGGGTGGAAGAATCAGGCACAGCCAAATTCATAGCAACATTGGCCAGGCGCGGTGTTTCTCGCCTACCCTCCCAGCACTTTGGGAGGCCAGGGCAGGAGGATTGCTCGAACCTAAGAGTTCGAGAGCAGCCTGGGCAACAGAGCAAGACCTCATCTCAGGTGGTCGAGGCTGTGGTGAGCCGTGATCATGCCACTGCATGCCAGCCTGGGCACAGCGGGAGACCCACAACTCAAAACCAAAAAAACCAATGTAGTGAGATGTGTCATGCCTCATCCAGACTTTCGTCAAGCACAACCAAGGCCTCTACATCAAGAGAGCCCGTCATCATATTAGCATGGTGACTCGAAGCTGGACACCTTGCTCCTGTGGGTTTTGAATGAAACGGGTCAGAGGTGAACCCCCATGTGACACAGCTGAGGCAGGGGAATTCCTGCTGCTGTCGAGTTGATGACCTCTGTGGTTCTAGGGAACGTGCCCCGCCCCCTATGAAAACTGCATCCTTAGACTAAGCCAAGAGGATGGACAATGTCTGCCCTGTCTCCCTCTTTTCTTTTCTTTTCTTTTCTTTTTTTTTGCCAGTCTCACTCTGTAAACCCAGGCTGGAGTGCAGTGGCACAGTCATAGCTACCACAGCCTCGGCCTTCTAGCTTCAGGTGGTCCCAGCTACTTTTTCGCTTTATTGTCGAGTCACATGTTGCCCAGGCTGGTCTCGAACTCCTGGGCTCAGGCAACCTCTCGCCGCCACCTTCCAAAGTGCCGGGATGACAGGCATGAGCCACCACGCCTGGCCCTGTCTCCTTCATTTCTCTCCTCCCAGAAAGACAGGGCTATTTGGCATCCTGCTTCTTCTCACTACTTCTGTCTCCTTCCTCTAGCAGAGGGAACCTACCGCCTCCTTCATTTTCCATGTAGTAATAGGGCTCCGCACAAGTGTAGCGAGTGACAGAACCAAACAAAGTGCTTTCTGGGTCTTGCGCTTTACCATTGGCAATGGGTTCGGGGACGCCACAGTCCACAGCTGCAAAAGAAAGGCGGGAGAGAGGGGCTCAGGACAGCCACTTCCTCCCAGGAAGAGTCACGGGGCCAGTTCCCGCCACACACCCTCCTCAGCCCATATGCGTAAGCAGCCCTGGGATGAGCATCCCCCCAACAGCCTCGGTGGCCATCCTTCCCAGCAAGCGCCACTCAACCTCCTTGACCCCTGAGACCTGCCCATTCAGATGACCTCTTGACAGGCTGGACCTCAGAGGTCAGAAGTCAGGAACGTACCTATGTGGGACAGCTAACTCTCCCAATTCCACAGCCCCTTTCTTGAGAGGAAACCTGCCAGTCTAGCTGCCCTGGAGCCAGATCAGGACCGGGGTTAGAAAAGCCCCCATGAGTGGCTTCCCTGGAAAAGTCCAGTCCGCTCTCTCACAAACCCACAAGGAAACCATGTGTTCACATGTTGATGGGCTAGGCCGGGCGCGGTGACCCAGCCTGTCATCCCAGCATTTTGGGAGGCCGAGGCGAGAGGACTGCCTGAGCTCAGGGGTTTGAGACCAGCCTGGGCAACTTGGCGAGACCTCATCTCTACAATTAAAAAAAAAATGTTGATGGGCTAATCTTTCAATTCCCTTTGGGAGGAAAAAAAGTTCCACTTTGAGGAGATACATACGTTGACATTTCATTCTGGAATTACTCCACTTTCCATTGCTTTGACATGTAGAATAGAAAGACGTTGAGCCAGCATTTCCCTGGAAAATAAGAAGCGTCGCCATTCATTGAGAAAGAGAGATGGGGAAGCCAAGATCAAACATGGAATTGACCTCTGGCCTTGGATCAACGAGGAGTCCCCCCACCCCCCACAGGAAGCCTGGGGACATCTTTGCAGAATGACCCAAAGCACCCAGGAGACAGAGCTGAAAGTCAGCTTTGCCCCAGCGAGTCAGCTCCCCACCCTCAGGAGGGCTGAAGGCAGAGAAAGAATGCCACGCTGGCCAAGCATCCAGACTCACAAGGGAATGAAACATCTGGAGTGTGGCATGCTCACGGCCACCGAGACCTTGACCTATTGGGCTCAGGCGATCCTTTCGCCTCAGCCTTCCAAGTAGCTGGAACTACAGACGCAGGCCACCATGCCCGGCTAGTTTTTGTGATTTATTGTAGAGACGAGGTCTCACCAAGTTGCCCAGGCTGGTCTAGAACCCCTGGACTCAGGCAATCTTCTCGCCTCGGCCTCCCAAAGTGCCGTAAGCCACTCTGGTTTTGGACAAGGTGTCATACCTCAATCAAACAAGGACGTTAGGGAAATGACTGGACAGTTTCAGTAAACCCATCCCGGTCTGGGGCCAGAGATCAAGGAGAAACCCAGATAGTACTCCACCTGCACAATTTCGAACCCATCCACACAGGTTATCGTCACCACATCTTGAAACACATATTTTGCCTTCTCAGGCTCCCAGACAGAATGGGCAGTGTCTTCCTTAGGACAGGGGATTGCTTGGAAAGCACAGAAGTTGGGAAAGAAAAAAGCAAAATTTACTGGACAGTTGGAGACGCTCTACCCTATGGACATCATTCTCTCACTTTCTAAAACTGTCTGGTCATCCTCCATCCAGGAGGCCAGCCATCTAAAATAACACGGCATTTGCTAACCAACCACCCCTAAGCTGTCTGCGCTCTCAGGTCTCGCTGAAGGATGATCAGAGGCTGAGGCATTTCTCGCACCCGCTGACAGGGTCGGACTTCCCCAAGCAGGTGAAGTGTCCCTGGATCCATCCAAACTGCCGTCGATAACAAGCTCTGCTGTGGTTCTACGCTGTCCAGAGACTTTGGTGCCACCCACCCAAGGGCCACGTCCAGCTTACTCACGATCTCCATGGTAACGAAGTTTCCAACCCTTTTTGTGCCCTGTTAGGTCGGTTTGGAAGATGATGTCAAGGGCATTGCTCTTGGTTTCGATGCTGAGTGGCCCGGGGAATCCATGACCACAGTAAGGACCAAACTGGCGATCTCCTGCAACAAACTGAAAGGAAACCAAATGGTGAAGTCAGAAGAGGGAAAGAACTCAAAGAAAGAGGTAAAGTGGCAGAGCAGGGTGGGGGTGGCAGGAGAAAAGACGATTTTGTCTTCTAGGAAAAAGCTCTCTGCCTGGGTTGGGGTGGGGAAGTTCACCAACCATCACGCACAACTAGACTGTCAGGGCAGTTTCCCTCTGAATCGGCTGGTTCCACATCGAAATCTTCTCTCCGCACAGTCACCACCACCTGGAAGCCCTCCTCCAGCAGGATCTGGTATTCACACCTTGAGTTCTCCGGGTACGGATTGGGGTAATTGGGACTCGCAATCTCCCCAATCAGCGCCGTGAATACATCCCCGCTGCAGTTGACTGAGGGAGAGAGAAAGGATCCAATGCAGGGCCGAGCGACAGAGCTCCTGCCCTGTTCTACGATTCCTTCTCTCACAAGCTGGCAGACCTCTGCCCAAGTGACCCTGGGACCCAGGCCCACACGGAGCAATTACCCACCCAAGACCTGTTGGTAGAAATGTCCAGTGCCCCCAGGTTTCCATTGCTTTGCTTATGATGGAGCCCTTGCTGGCCATGAACAGTCCCAGTGGCCTCCCTCCCCAAGTCCTCTTCTCCGGTTAACTAACCCCACTCGTAGCCTTGTCTTCCTCCCCTCTGATGGCTCCCCCCGGCTTCCGAATAACTAAGAATAGATGCCAGATGAAGGCTGGGCCTGCTCAGGACTGGAAGGGTGGACAAAGCCCTACTGAGGCCTCAGGCCATTCCAGACCCAGGAACATGGTCTCCTCCAGAGGCCAACATCACCTCCGCAGTTCTTCATATCCTCGTGGAGGAAGTATTCTGGGGGGCAGGAGCAGAAGTAGCCTCCGATGAAGTTGTTGCAGAAATGGCTGCAAGGGACGTCTGCAAAATCTGTGCACTCGTCTACATCTTCAAAGAGCAGAAAAAGACTGACATCAAAAACAAGCTCCAAGGCTGGGCATAGTGGCTCACGCCTGCAATCTCAGTACTTCGGGAGGCCAAGGAGGGAAGAGTGCTTGAGCCCAGGAGCTCGAAATCAGCCTAGGCAGCAAGATGTGACTCCCAAAAAAATTAGCTGGGCATGGAGACATGCACCTGTAGTCTCAGCTACTCGGGAGGCTGAGGCAGGAGGATTGCCTGAGCCCAGGAGGTTGAGGATGCATTGAGCCGGATGGCGCCACAGGGAGACCCTGAATCAAAAAAACAAACCCCAGAAAAGCACCAACCAAGGCCAGGTGCGGTGGCTCACACCTGTCATCCCAGAAATTTGAGAAGCCGCAGGGAGAGGATTGCTGGAGCCCGGGAGTTCAAAACTGGCCTAGGCAGCATAGCAAGACTTCATCTCTACAAAAAATCAAAAAATTAGCTGAGTGTTGTGGCATATGTCTGTCATATGTTGAATCGGTTTGAATACCATACACTCCTTGTGTGATTCTTGGCAAGTTATTTTATTTTATATTATTTTTAGAGACAGAATCTCACTCTGCTGCCCAGGCTGGAGTGCAGTGGTATTATTCTAGCTCACTGCAGTCTCGAACTCTTGGTCTCAAGTGATCCCCCTGCCTCAGACTCCTGAGTAGCTGGGACTACAGATGCATAGCGCCACGCCAAGCTAATTATTTTTTAATCTTCATAGAGATGGAGTCTTGCTATGTTGTCCAGGTTGGTCTCAAACTCTTGACCTCAAGAGATCTTCCTACCTTGGCCTCCCAAAGTGCTGGGATAACAGGCAGGAGACACAGCATCCAGCCTCTTGGCAAGTTATTATCTTTCCTTGTTCTCACTTTCCTTGTCTTTATATGGAGGTAATAATACCTACCTTTAAGGGTTGAAATGAAGATTATGTTAAAACAGGTAAAACCCCTAAAACAGTACTCAATTCCTAGTGACTCTCAATAATTACTGTTGGCCGGGCACGGTGGCTCAAGCCTGTAATTCCAGCACTTTGGGAGGCAGAGGCGAGAGGATTGCCTGAGCCCGGGGGTTTGAAACCAGTCTGGGCAACTTGGCAAGACCCTGTCTCTACAATAAATCAAAAAATCAGCCAGGTGTGGTAGTGCACACCTATAGTTCCAGCTACTTGGAAGGCTGAGGTGGAAGGATTGCCTGAGCCCGGCAGGTTGAGTCTGTGGTAGCCGTGAGCATGCCACTGCACTCCAGCCTGGGCGACAGAGTGAGACTCCAACTCAAAAAAAATTACTGTTTGTTACCTATATTAACATTACCATCATCACCACTAAGATATGATTATGTGTTTGAATTTTACAGAAGTGATTTATGGAGGGACCCAGGCCAGACCAACACTTTGCAGGTGTCATGAGCAGAATCCTTATTCAGCGTGTTGCTCGGTGGTTTTCCTGCTTCTAATCTTTTGGCTGGATCCATAAGGCACAGGCAGAAGGATGAGCCTTACCCATGGCAACGTAGTATGCAGCAAAGCCGGTGAAACGCTCTTCATTGGAGAAGTCTGACTTGAAGATGACCCGCAGTTTGTTGTATGGGACTTGGAACTCTTCCACAATCGGGGAGTCGGGATTTTTGCTGGTCCTCTGTCCACAGAGTTTCCCTTCTTCAAACTCCCCTGACATTATCTAAGAGAAGAGTCAAAAACAAACCAGGAAAGGGGAATGTTTTGGTACGGCGGTATGAGGAAAAGGGACGGAAAGTAGATCATTTAGCCCCTTCAGACAGTTGACTCCAGTGCGTGGTATGCCTATGGAGCTCCCTCCTACATCCTTATCCCACCACCCCAGATCTGGTCTTCCATCTCGATTCTCTTTTTTTTTTCGAATTGGAGTCTCACTCTGTTGCCCAGGCTGACGTGCAGTGGCACGATCACAGCTCACCGCAGCCTCGACTTCCTGGGCTCAGGAGATCCTTCCGCCTCAGCCTCGCAAGTTGCTAGAACTGCAGGCACACACCACCACGCCTAGCTAATTTTTTTGTTTATTGTAGAGACGAGGTCTCGCCATGTTGCCCAGGCTGGCCTCGAACTCCTGGGCTCAGGTAGTCCTCCATCGCAAGCTCCCAAATTGCTGGGATGACAGGCGTGAGCCATGGAGCTCAGCCCATGTCTATTCTTTGTAGGCTCATAATATACCTGCACTGAGTCGTATGCGCAGTTCTCTGACAGCTCTATGTCCAGGTGGGTGAAGTAGAGGTGAATCCCGTACCCTTCGGGAACTTCTATGTCCCAGGACTTCTCTACTTCATTGGGGTACGCTTGAGGGTAGTTAGGAGACAAGATCTCCCCATACATGGTGGGCTCAGCACAGACCCACGCCAAAAGGGAAAACAGGACAATGCACCTGAAAAAAAGGCATAAAGAAGTGGGCAACCTGGGTACCAGCAGCCTAGGGCAGAACTCCGCACTTGTCACAGGCCGAAGGAAGGGGAAAGGAGAAAGGCAGTCAGCAGGCCGTGGAGATACTTTTAGGTTGAATAAAGTAAAGGCCAAGGTCAACCCCAAACCAGGCTTCCCATCAGAGCCCTTTTCTTGAGAAGACTAGGGGAATGGAGTCTGGGTCATCTCTGGAGACCCTCGGTCACCTACCACATGGCTGGCAGCTTGTCCATCAGGTGAGCTACCCGTCTCTTGGTCCTGGCTCTCCGCACCTCTGGACTTTGGAGCTGCAGGGGTGGCAGGCCTGTCTGTGTTTGTCTGGCAAACACAGGCACCTGCTTTGGTGGTGAGGGACCCCCCGGGGTCAGTGTCACCTTCACAAGGACAGCGCGCAGGCTACACAGAGTCACATCAGTCGTCGTCCACACGTGGCACCCCGCCCCTCACGCCCTCCCTGCTCTCGCTTCAACCACCCTTCTAGACTGGAACTAGACAGAGCCCTTCCCTCTCGTGTGTCTGGACCATCTCCCAGTTTCTCTCCACAGGAATGGGTGTTCTCTCCTGCTTCTCCTCTTCCTCTGTTCTCCTCCCCACCCTCACCCTGCGGTGCCAGTCTCTCCTGTGCTCACACAACCATGTCTGCATTTCCGACAGGTTTTCAGGACTCATCTGGGACAGTCCTCCCTCCTCTTCTGCCACGACCCCACTATGGCCTCAAACCAGCTCTCTCTGTGCGTTGGTTACCACGTGCATTGCTGCTGATACTCCAGCGGCAGCTGATGGAGCCGTGAGCTTCTACTACTAGGAGAAGTAGGGACCATGGGACCAGGGGTCTGAGAAGGGAAGAGCTGCCCCATTGGGATAGGGCTGTGAGGACAAAAAAGAGGGACAGGCTGGGCGTGGTGGCTCACGCCTGTAATCCCAGCGCTTTGGGAGACCGAGGAGGGAGGATCGCTTGAGCCCAGGAGTTTGAGAACAGCCTGGGCAGCACAGCAAGACCTCATATCTATCAAAAATTTATTGGGGCATGTGGGTGCATGCCTGCAGTCCCAGTTAGTCGCCTGGGAGGCTGAGGTCGGAGAAGCACTTGATCCCAGAAGGTCAAGGCTTCGGTGAGCCATGATTGTGCCACCACACTCAAGCCTGGGCAACAGAGTGAAACACCGACTCAGAAAAAGGGGAGGGGGCAGCCAAATGACGAGGAACATAAAAGGAAAGGAAAGGTCGGAAAGAAAACGTCCCTACATTCTTTTTCCAGGGCTTGTTTGGAGTTTTTTTCCCCACCTTTACTACAAAGACAAGCTATCATCCCACAGTTCCTAGGAAAGTCTTGCCAAATTGTTTTAACCTTGGGGCAGGGGGAGTTGGACAGGAGCAGCCTAAGAGAAAGAGGCGGCCTCCGTCAGCCCTTCTTCTCTGCCCCAAGCCCCCAGAGGGAGGCTTTCTACCTTTCTTTCCTCCTCTGTCAAATCTCTGGTTTTTACCTTCAGAAGCTGACAAGAGCAAGTGGCTCCGTCCCCTCTCTCCTGCCAGTGGACACGCTAGCAGCCCGGCCGGCGCCCGGGATGGCAGCACGGGGCCTGGACTCCCTCTGCACCAGCCTCCAGCCAGCCTCTCTGGCCTGGCTCTGTTCACGCGAGTCCCTGACCGAGTGTGCATGTCTGGAATTGCCTGATCCAAACAGAGGGGGCTGGGAGACCACGCATCAGGGAAGGGCAGCTCAGCCCTGATCTTGGAGCTCCCTCTGCTTTTGAAACAAGGACAGCATCCTCCTCCCAGGCTGAGGTTCCTCTATCCAGGGCTCTGGAGCAGGAGAGGAGGAAAGGGGAATTTCACTGATTGCCTAATGTTTTTTTTCAGCCAAAGGGCGTGTTTCAGAGTTTTCGGAGAAGTCAGGTGATTTGTGGGAAAAGGAGGGGATTGATACTAGGGAAAAAAGCCAAACCCAGAAAGTCCAGCCCTCCAGCTGGGGGTGAATCACGAATTGGGGAGCGTTGTTATCAGAAGCACAGAGCATCTCTGCCGCACCGCAGGGGCAGCGGTGGGTCATGACTTCCGCAGAGACCCATGTTGGAGGGGGTGATTCTTCTCCTCATCATACAGTCCCTTCCCCATCTCCAAACAACTAAACTCCACCCGCCAATCAGGCCCCAGGACAGACACAAGCCAGAGTCCCACCCCTAGCCCTGGGGAGCAGATGTGCTTGAAATACAAAATTTTACAGATTTTACCCTCCCCCAGGGACTGAGATAACACTCTACTGTCAAACATTAATATTTCTGCAGCTAAACATCGATCTTCACAGTCAGTGAAACACTAAAGGTTACAAATTTCATCAGTTCAGGTCAGGTTTTGCTGCCAAATAAGTTTTGAAGCCAAACTTGGGGGGAAAAAAACAAAAAACTTTGTTTTCAGAGATTTTTGGAGTTTGGAATTGCAGATAAGGAGCTGAGGACCTGACCCCTTCATCCACAAAGCCTTCCTTGACCTCTCCGTTCCCCTTTGAGTCCTTAATCACTTTCTATCACCATCCTAGTGGCTGCATCCCGGTGAACTATAGACTTCATCAGTTGAGGATGTGTCATTATTTTACACTCCACCAGCAATAAAAAAGTTTGGGGAAGAGCCTTGGAATCAATGAAGCACAGTGTCTGCACATGAGTCTCACCTGTGGTTGGCTCAGCCCTGGGCTTGCCTTCCGAAGACAGGCTCAGGTCCTGGCTCTGCTGCTCAGCAGGAAGGCTTTGTTCAGCTCATCACCTAACCGCCTGGCTTCTTCGGATGTAAAATGGAGAGCATTTCAGTGCTGCCTAACCTGCATGACTGCTGGGGGGAGCTGGTGAAATACTAGTGCAAACAAACTTTACACACTATGGTGCCAAATAAATGCACATGTTAAAAGGAAGAGAATTGTGAGCCCATCAGGTCTCTGAAGGAGGCTCTGGGTCCAGTTCACTTTTGCATTTTCCGCCTTGTTTAAGGGTGTCGTGCCGGGCTCGGTGGCTCAGCCTGTCATCCCGCGCCTTTGGGAGGCTGAGGTGAGTGGATTGCCCGAGCCCACGGGTTCGAGAC